AGTACCTTTAGCCTCAAACTAAAGTTGTAAAGACCAGAATTCTGAATCTAATAGTATCAAAATTACAAAAATTGGTCCATTGGATCATGAAATATAAGTATTTAAATCTTCGCGAATATGTAAAAACCTACTGTCCTACCTTATAATCGCGAAAAGAAAAATACGTATTTCTCACGATCTACCGGACAAATTTTAGCGAATTTGGTGTTATCTGAATTGGAATAAATGGCCTCTAAAACTTTAATTAGAGGTACAACTAAGAATTGCTTAGTAAGGTATCTTGAAAATTGCATTTTATAAAATATTAAAACATATTTTTCCGATATCTTACTAAGTAAAATGCTCTTGTGCTTCTAATTAAAGTTTTAGAGGTCATTATTCCAATTCAAATAACACCAAAAACGCTAAAATTGGCCCAGTTGATCGTGAGATATATGTATTTTTCTTTTCGCGATTATAAGGTAGGTATAAGTAGGTTTTTACATATTCGCGAAGATTTAAATACTTATATTTAGTAATCCAATGGACCAATTTTTGTGATTTTGATACTATTAGATTCAGAATTATGGCCTCTACAGCTTTAGTTAGAGGCTAAAGGTACTTTCGCTTAATAATATATTTAGTAAATTTTTTGGTAGGTACAAATCACGTGAACTGGTAGGTGTCTGAGAGGAAAAATGTGACCTAGCTGTAGGCACGTGAGTGGGAGGAAAAACGTGACCTAGCGAAGGCACGTGAGAAATGTAATCACGACACGACCCAAAGTCAACAACCCGAACCGAAGCTAAGCCGCAAGATCCCGCATGTGAAAGTAGCATTTAATAAATGCTATATTGGGTTTAGCTCGAGGCGAAGCCCATTGAGAACAATTGAATAATGGCTTTGTGGGAGCAAGGTTAATGTTAGCCGCTTGTAGATTCCTCCCTCCCGATACTAAATTGTAAAAGCCCGATGAATCTCTTATGTATAAAAGTCCTGTAAATTCTGTTAGTAAAGAGACAGATAAGTTATCATTTGGTATTAATAAAAACCTACCTTAAAGCCAGGATCTTAGTGGCAGTAAGATCTTTGTTCTCGGACCAAAACTTCCACGTCTTTTTGAGTTGCCTTGTGTCTTAGTGTTACATTACGTTTTAGTCATTAAGGACCCAGTAGCCCAAATCCACCCCTTTACAATGTACCTGCGTGCTTTTTTCATTTACTTATTGGAACGGGATTGTTACGTCAGCACCGTGCAATAACCCACGGGTTCATATTTAAATCCCGTGCCTTCGGCACGGAATATGAACCCGTGTGTAACTGGGTTATTCACTACATACTCATACTATAATGAATTTAATCCGTTAAATCCATGAATCCGGTGTAAGGGTGTTCGTTATATTCATAGTTGGCAGTATGTATACAATATCATATATTATTATTTTTTTTTCTTTAATAATTAGTGACACTTATGAGAACAGTTGTAACGGTAAAAAAGAATCGAAGATAATAAATTTATTCAGCTGTTTTCATTCTAACTGGGACACCTGATTAAAAATTAGACTCCGATTCGATAAGTTTTTGATTTCGGCACAATAATGCCAAAATAAAAAACTTATCGAATCGGATAGTCTAATTTTTAATCAAGTGTCCCAGTTGGAATGAAATTGAATAAATTAGTTGTGCAACCAAAATTCAGCATAGAGCTTAGATTCGAGTCAACTCGAATAACTCGAGATTTTATAACTCTAATTTGTATTTCGGAATAATTCGGATGTCTCTTCTCTAAATATAACATTCTACTTCGGAAATTCCAAGTTCTGTCTCTTATATTTAGGGTTGTGAAATTACCGTAATTTTACGTAATTTTGTGTAATTTTTCGTAAGATTCGGTAAATTGGATTTACAAGGAAATGTAATTTTAATCACATGATATGTAAAAGTTTCTGAATTTGTCGTAATTTTGATCACATGATGTCGAATACGTAATTATTCGTTCGCTTAATTATTTTTGTCATATAACGCATAAAATATAAAATAAAGTAAAATCGAACCTAAAAATTTTATAACATACTACTGTACTAAAAATGATTAAAAAAAAAGAAAGTTGAAATGTGGGATCAATATACTACGCGGATAGATGAAAAGGGAAAAGAACGTTACAAATGCAAGGAAGTGGCAAAAAATGCAACAAGATTACAGGAGCATTTGGATATATGTTCTTTATGAAATTCAACAATATTAATAAGAAACGAAAACAATCAACATCAGATACAGTAATAGTAATCATGATCAGAGTGAATTGGAATCACGGAGTAAAAATAATCGCAAAACAAAATTAATATGTTTGCAAAATCTTCATATCGTGTGACTGAAATAATTTAAATAAACGTATAGTATAGCAATTCGTTACATACTTCATATTTAAATATAACAATATTGTAACGGATGTCTTAGATACTCAAATAAATCTAATGAATAAAACTAGACCAAATTTATGTAATCTCAGCACTTTATATCATGTGACCAAACTTACGAGTAATTCGATTTACTGAAACTTACGTAAAATTACAAGTAATGTAAGATTGTAATTTTTGTAACACAACCCTACTTATATTTAATACCGGCCGCCTAGCTCTTAATCTGGCCCGCTTTATTCTTATATATAACTCGAGTTAGGTTTTTCTAACTCTGATGCTTATTCGAGTCAAAGTCTAATTCAGCAGATCAGGGTCGGAATGAACCGGCGTTGCTAAATTCTGCCCAAAATTCCATACTGTCAGAAAGTATATAAATTCTATTCGTCGGACAAAAAAAAAAGTGAGATGTTAAAGGTAACGATTAGCAAAAATAATATATCAAAATATATTAGTTTATTGTACGTATTATAAAGATTGCATATACGTAGTAAGATACTTGGCATTGGGGTTTTAGACATAGAGCTTTATCGTATCAAAGGTTATTAAATTTTTATTAATGATGGTTAAGAATTAGTTTATTAGTTAATAAATAGACGAATTAATTAGTAAATAAATGTAAATAAATGAAAATGCGACCGGGTTTAGAGCATTTATTATGAACTCTAATGTATAGTCTTTAATTAATTTTAATTAATTTATTTCAATTCTATTTTTTCATTTAGAAAATCCACGATTTTGATTGGTTATCACCTCTTCGTAATTTGTGTAACTTAGAACGGAGCTAGAATAGATTCGGCCAAGAACAGCTCCGACCGAACTCTAATGACACTTAATAGTAATGATTTGCATAATGTTCATGAAAAACTCTGCTCCATCGATATTAATTTTTAAGCATGTGCGTACTCTAAAAAAAAAAAAAAAAAAGAAAAAAAAACGCAATACAAAAAAAAAAAATAAAAAAAATAAAATTGAAAGTCTTCAAATATCTGATAGATTCGCAACCTTTTCATACTTTATCCAATCATGAAATATGGCACAACCACCGCTACAGCCGTATAAACTTCAACCTCCAAAGAATTTGTCCTCTTTACATAAAACAAGTGCCGATCTTGGTAGGTGAATGCTATCAAGAAGTTAACATAACATACCTAGTTCATAAAAATTACTATAGAAAGTTCTACATTCTAACCTTGCAGCGGCTGCTTCGTAAGGGACCTGATACTTATAAGAGTTGTAAAATTGATCTAAGTTATTAAAAATGAACAATTCTTAATTCATTGCAGGATATCCCGATTTCTATCCTCCAAAACCCGGTCAGGATGAAGACTTGATGACAGCAGAAAATGTACAAAAAGGCTTCTCTGGCGCTTTTTTTGTAGAATCAGAATCTTTCTCAGTACAGGATATGATGATTGATGAGATAAGAGACCCGAAAGGTCTTGAAAATCTTGGCGAGTTCATGACCGACATAATGAGACGTAAACATGAGATTAACACTTTTGAAGAGTAAATATTTTTATAATCAGTTTGTTTTTTATAACATTTAATATTAAATATCATTCTATTTTTTTTCTCATGGCATAGATCTTCTCCGTACGAGGTGCCAAATCTGGTTTGGATGCACGCTGATCGTAGAGATGAATGGCTGAGGTGGTTGGCCGGCAATAGTCCGCTTAAAAAATTAGCGGAGAGTGTTCCAAAAGGGTATTATATTTAATTTACGGTTTTTTTACATGCCATGGGTACTTGTTCATAATTCGATCCTGATATTTAATCTGCTACAGTGTTGATGGTATAACTCTACTAGAACTTGTTACTCAACATAGAGTACCTCTAGCACGAGCTACTTGGTTTACCAAGATAGTAGGGATTAATATAATGAATACACCACACAATTCTACGCAAGAATACACGAAAACTTGGAGTCATACATTTCACAGTTTTATTCAAAAACAGAGTCGTGAATATGATCCCGATAAGTGGCGATATAGGCAAGTGAACTCATAAACTAACAAAGTTATTTATTATAGAGTGTAGTAAACATACTATTTGTTTCTGAATTTAGTATATTACTGGCAAAATGGCAATTTGATGATGGGCTGCTTGATCAACGGATTCTTCGATTGACACTTGACAATTTGGATCAAGCAGAGCACTTAAATACAGTTATTTGGTTGTGGTTTGTTCAGCAATTCTTGGATGAATTTCAACGATCTCGAACGCTGATGAGATTGTTGATAGAAATTATCTTAAAAAAATTACAAGATGTAAGTAGTCTGTTTCTTTGCTTCAGACATTATCTGAAAAAATGTAAAGTAATCAGAATAACTGTATTTAGATATATCAGCACCCAACAATTATACCAAAACTCGAAATTGTCGTCAAAATGTTAAAGAATATGCTACATGTATGAATATATATATTTTTTATTATAATTATTCTTTAATCTATTATGTTAACTTATTTGTAATATTTATTAAGTATAAATATATTATTATTATTTGTTCCTATAGACGCTTTTTTTGGCCACTCCTGACATGTTCGTATTTCCTGTTTGTTGGAACACATACAAAGACCTCTTACGATGTGTGTTTGTTGAAAACAATTCAGTAAAAACCGACGTTGTTATACCAAAGAATATGAAACGGCAAATGGAAAGATACTATGAATTAATACGTGCTAGAAATGAAGTATTTGATAAAGAAAAACCAGAAATGATCGGAAAAAGAAATGCACAAGAACTGCAACAATCTCGTATAATTCAAGTGGGTATATCGACATTATTAACGTACGAACAATGATTATGTATACATTTGTATCATGATTATAATAAATTATCGTCTATTCACCATTTTTAGATCCTAGATAAAGTTGGACTCCACACTGACTACAATAGTATTGCAGCCGAATATTTCCGCATAAATAGTAAATTTCCAATGCTTGAAAAAGAAGTATCGACACATATTTACTGGTTGTGTTATTGGGCTGTGACTAAACATCGCGCTGGAGATTATCGTATTTACTCTGTAAGCACTATAATCGACACATGGAAAAACGCTGCGACAAAAGTAGAAGAAAAGTCGCAACGTCAGACAACAATCCAAAACTCTTTAATGGAGTTTTTAGACAGTTATCTTCTTGGTTGTAATGGCATATGTGAGAAAGACGGTAGGCATTTTATTATCACGAGAAGTTTATATTCTATATTGACGCTCTATTTTTATTTTTATCAAATTTCTTATCTTAGAATGCGAGATAATTGCGGGGTTATTTGGTGAACTTATCCGCAACGGGCATTTTTCTCACCAACGTTATTTGCAACGTTTGATTGCAAGAGGAGATGTTTTACCTGAGAGAGTGATAACTGAGGTATTTCAATTTAGAATTGTTATCTGCTTAATCGATTTATCTAAATTTATGTATTATGTTATTTTGGAAATGCGTCTCTCTAGAGGTCAAAAAGACACTTGAAGTATGTAAAACATTTCCCACTCTTTAATGCTGAGCTCCATCATTTAAACCAGAGACGAGTCATATTATATGGTGTTGATTGCGATGTAAGATACATATTTGTTTGTGTTTTGATAAACAATAAATAATGTACATTAGATCAATTATTATTATTATTATTATTATTATTATTTTACAGGACACTAGCGATCAAGATGAATATGATTCTATGGTAGAGAAGATAAAGGCTAAACTACCACACATGTTTTCGAAAACAGGTTGCGTAAATAAATGCATATTGCAAATTTATTATTACTGCCTATTTTGCAACTAATTCTTTGTTACACGTTCATTATTAGAGAATGAGCCAGATGCTCCGACAGTAGATGATCCTGTTTCTGACATGCCTCTGGCACTCAATTTTGATAATGAAACAATAGAGTTTATGCGAAATGTGACGAAATTTTGTCAGATAAAAGTAATACAAACGTGGCTTCTCCCACAAATTAAATCATTTGTCCAAAATACCCCGTGAGTATTTTCAAATAAATTTATGTCCCGTACACTCCACTTAAAGATTAATGGTCTAATTATTTAAGCAAAAAAAAAAAGATATATAAATTTAAAATTTAATAAAATATATATATTAAAAATAGCATTTTAAACAAAATTTGGAAATTTGGAAATGGGACATGCCCAAGATATTAGTCTTTAAATTCCGTGCACAAACATTATTAAAATATATTTAATTTGTATATTTTCTAGTATTGGTCTACATAATTGGCGTAGTCCAACTCAGCCTGGGTCTTCATTACTGAATGCACGTCAGTTTTCAACAATAGTGAAAGTCATTGAACTTGCAAAAGATTATAATTCATTATTGGATGTAAGTTATAGCTAAATAATTACTTTATTTGATCATCTATATCACTATATCATACATGCTATTTTATTATAGCTCCTGCTATGGGTTCTTGAAAATTCGATGGAAAAATGCCTATTTCAATCAATCATTGACACATTAAAACGGCACGAAATCGTTTGGGATGCTATGGGTAAATCAGAACAAGTTCTTGATGCTCTTATGAAAAAGGTAATGAAGATAGATGTATTAAGTCCTTATTCTTTTCAACTTTTCAATTAAATTCTTTCCTTTTTACGAATTATAGAACGAACAATTGCGCGATAAGAGAGAGATTGAAATATGCATAGTAAAATATTTAATAAATTTCACGCATGACTCTCTAAACGATAAAAATGAAAAGGTTTATATCTTTAAAGCCATTTTTCTTCATTTTATTATTCTCTCACACTAATTTTTATTTATTAGTTGGAGCAAGACTTACAGTCATCGACGAAGGTCTGTGGATGGTTTATCATTTTGTTTGCATTTGCGAGTAACTGAAATATATATATATTTTTTTAGTCACTAATATCACAGGCTATATCACGTCATCATTCCCGTCTTGATGATTATAGTAGCATGAAACAACTTATTAGTAGTGTCAAGTCTTTGAATATAGATTTACGTTTATTTCAGTCAGACGTTGAAGGATATTTGTATAAAATGTTTGAATCATATATAAATATTATAATTCAATACTGTAATGATTATGCCGATGAAAATTACACAGAGGGTAGGATAGTTCTAAGTATTTTTGGTGATCTGTTTAAAGAAATTGTTGATGTTGGGACAGATGGACTTAATTCTGTTTTCAAAAAGTGGATAAAAAATCTCTCTCGTACGGATGAGGATAAAATTTTCGGAAATGAAAATATTCTTTTATTATTTTTTTTCTTGACGCTCGTCGCACGACATTCGGTTTGCATGGATATAATGGTAAAGCATCTTTGTGAAAAGAACCTAATTCGATTAACGGAGAAATTGTCGAGTCAAAAGCAATTGGATTTAACAGAGACTATCGAATGCAAGAATTTAGCGAAACTATTGAGATTATTAATTCTACAAGATGGTGATAATCCTTCTATTAATTTACCACTAAGCATGATGGTTTGTCGATTTCTCTTTCTATACATACATATAATAATACTATATTGATGAGAATTTATCATATTATTAGGAAATCCAAGTGTTAAAGTCTCATTGTGAAGCGTTATCTCATAATAAAGATTTTATTGTGATAATATCTACCATTTTTCAGAAACTCGCTATGATTGAATGCTTGATCGATTCTAAAGACCCAATTGTAGATATTCTAATGCAATTAAGGATCGATTTCTCTAGGGTTGAGTGGTTCAGACAATTATGTATAATTAATGCTGAAAGAGTTTACGACCATTTTGTTAAAAAAAATAAGGGAAACAGTAAAGAAGTAGAAAAACGTATTCTTGATATTATACAAACTGCACTTGGAGACGATGTTAACAAACTAGGTGAGTACTCTCTTGAATTAATAAAATATATAGTAATTTATTTTATTCTTATTGATCCTTTATTGTAGATGTCGCAAAATCTACCCAAATGACCTCAGATTACATCAGATATCTGAAGGTTATTTTCTCCAATATAAGTTTGTGGAATATACAAAAAAGTCGTATAGAATTTTGGTTGTGTATGGATCAAATTATGTTAATTGATTCTGCTATCCTTCGTTCACCATCAACGTCCACAATTAAAGCCGAAGATGACATAACAGGTGAATTAGCAAAAAAAGAGAGTTTAAAAAACGTCGTTATAGATTGGTTCTGGGAAGAAATTATATTAAAAGGTGATGTAGATTGTGACTTTTTGAGTAACATGATTCGAGGGATAAGAGAGGATGTTAGTCTAGAGGTATGCTTGTGCTATTCATTTTACCTAAACGTACGATTTCATTTAATAAAAAAAAATTTTTATTTATTTATTTATTTATTTTAAAAAAACGGGTAAAGTTATTTGAAAAAGGACTTCAGATATTAAGTAGATGTACGGAATTAATTTCCGGTATTGAAGAAATATTTAGATCATTATTGTTTCCACTCAATGTCTATAAGAAGATAAACTTTTGTGATGCTTTGCTAAATCAAATAAACAAAATCCGTGAATTTCCATATGACCTTAATTCAATGCGAACCCAGTTTGAAAATCAAGATAATGTTTATGTGTCTAGGTGAGATATAAGTTTTAACTTTGATGTTTAACATATTAAGATAAGATTCTAACGTAGGCTTTTTTAGCATAATTTCTCGAGTCAAATTATTGGTGCTTGGGGCGCATGTATTGACTAGTCGTGTAACAGAAGTGGTTACTGAAACTAAGCGGGACAGCGCTCGTAGAATTATGGAATATATTCTAATAGAGGGTCTGTTTGTGACATTGGTGAATTTATTATGTGATCAACGTATCCATTTTAATGGAGGCGGTTGCACGCACTTTGATTTAATTTTGGATCTTGTGTCGTTCTTACTAGATGGTATAATGTTTATATTTTTTTGACCTTTTTTAATAATTATTTAATTAAAAATATTGATTATATGTAGAAATGGGAAAAAATGCACGTGCTATTATTGTTGCAGAATTAAAGGTAATTTGATCTTTGTATATTATCAAATTTAATAAGAAATATTCAATTAATTACCCATATTTATTTCATTTTTCGTTTTTAATGATCTCGTTTAATTATTATTATTTTGAAGGAGGTATGTTTACTATTTGATTACTTAAGTTTCATTATTTAACTTTATCATTTAATAACTACATGTATTTACGTATAGCGCTACAAATTTGACAATATTCCAGCAATATGGGGTAATAGAATAAAACGTGTACTTCCTTTTATTTTTGTTCAAGAAACCATAGGAGAAGGAGAAAAAAGTCACACAATAGATCCTTGGAAAATGATTGAGGGATTGGGTGAAAATGATGATCTCACTAGTTCACCTATTGATTTATCATGGTATAATTCGAAAGTTTATCCACGGCCTAATAAAAGATTGAAAAGAGTTGATGTGAATATAGTGCAACAATTTAATTAATATACAAATTTATGATAATTGAACAATCGATTTGATCGAGTGCGCTGTCAGCATGAGTTGTATATTATATTTAAATTTAAACTTTTATATTTTTTTTTAGATTTTATGTGCTTGATAGAGCATTTTAATTGATGGAATTTGTTAAAACATTAGGAATTATTGAGAAAATTGAACTAATTTTGGCTGATTTACAAAGACAATTTATTTATGAATTTGTAACATAGATTTTGAGCATTTAGATATATGCAATTTTTTTAGATTATATTATAATGTTTGATTTGTAATATTTTATAGTTTTGGACTTTGAATTTTATGTTTATAGTTGCTTTAACATAATTTGTTGCATAAAATTTAATTAAAAAATAGGGAGTAAGGTTTGTATAAGGAGAGTGGTTTATGCAGCAAATTATGGCATACATGAAAATAAACCTTAGGCAACTTAGAAGGCTTGTTTCTCATTATAGGATTTTTAAAAAAATATTTGTAAATTTCAGATAATGATATTTATAATTATGTTTAAAAAAATTCAACTACATTATTTTAATTAGTAAAATTAATTTCATATATTTCCGGTTGTTGCGATTTATAAATTTGATAGTATAATATAATGAAACATGCAAATTAATATTAATAGTCCATTATTTAATTATTTAGCATACTTTCTAATAAATCTATAAGCAAATAAAATTTTTATAAATTAATACATTAATCGTTATAAATTTAAAAAGAGACTCAATGTTGTCAAGTGTATTTCAATGTTGTTAAGTGACCCTCATTCCCAGCATTAATAGAGTATATAGAATTACCACTACAGAAGTCATTAAAACCCATTGGCATATTTAATATTTCTTCAGGGGTGATCTGATTTTCCAAATTAGGAGCTGTATTCACATAAGGGACAAAGTTGTTCATTGAATTATATATATTCAAGTTACTAAATTGTATATCACTATCAGATGGAGTTAAGATTATACCCGCGTAAGCCAATCTTGCATGATATATTTCGAGATTTTTACGAAGACGTTTATTTTCAATTTCTAGAAAAGCAGCTCTATCTTCAAGTTCTTTTACTCGAGCACGTTTTTTCTCACGCAATAATCTTGCGTAATTTCTTCTACGTTCACGTTCATATTGTATATATTCTTGTGATATATTAGACTTCGAATCGACTTTTGGTAATATTTCCCGTGATTCACATTGATTGGATTGTATAAATATCGGTGATGGCATAGATTTGTGTAACGGTGTCAATTGTATTTGACCAGGAAGTATTAAAGGTTTTGCATTTTTGTGAGGATGTAAAAGAAAAGTATTTTTTGATACTAATGAACATATTCGTTGAGTTGGACTCAACTCTTCAATATCTGGGCTATTTACGATGCTAAGAGCTGAGCTACTAGCTGTTGAATCTGATAAAAATTAGGAGAAAAAAGAAAGTAATTAGATAAACTCTAAACCATCAAACCATAGATATAATTTATTTTGATACAAACCACATTCCGTTTCAGAATATTTTTCATCAAAATTTTCTATATCAGATAATATTGAAAACATAATAAAATTTTATGATAAATTGAGTGAAAAAAAATGAAAGATTTTAAAATAAAAATACGTCTTCCTTTTATTAAAGATGAATTATTTTTAGAACACCAGTAAAAAAAAAAAAAAAAAAAAATCAGAAAAAAAAAGTGAGATAAAGACTAATTATTTCTTTTTATCATTTATATTTATATTCATTATCTATGACGAAATATGATTAATAATATAATAATTCGTTCTCATATTCTATTAAGATTGGTCATGTGACTCAGAGTTTCATTTACTCAAAAAAAAAACTTTGAATATCTTAAGTATGCTATGCACATTAGAGGATAGATAAAGGTAAAATCCGTACATGCTTTGGAAGATATAATAAATATCCGTAGGTAAAAAATTCTAGATAAAATAGCTGGATAAATTTCCAGGTTACGTGTTATGATAAGTGGATTGCAAATTTCAAGAAAATATTAATACATTTTTTACTAAAATATTATTATTTATTAAATGAAGAATATTAAACAAAGTTTATGGAAATTTTGTTAATTTTTCTTATTATAAAATTCTTCATATATATAATACACATTAATCCAAATCCGAATCATCTCTTCTTAGGTAAATCCACCTGTTAAGCAAATTTATTAATAATCAAGCCTTTTTTGAAAGCCTTCAAAGAATATTTACACTTTAAATTACTTATGAAATTTGGAGATTAAATATATATTTTACTTAACATACTAAGTCAAATTGCCATAATTCGTTAACTTTTTTTTTTTAATCCGAACCTTTGTTTAAATGAGTCCATTGACAACACGCTGTAATTGATTATCTTGTATCCCAGCTTAGTGGTTGGATGTGAATTTGAACAATTCGATTGAATCCAACCTGATTAATACAAACTCAGTAAACTGCGTGAATATTTATGCATTAATCGTTAACTATAGTTGTTAGGCGAAACTGTTTTGCGCAAATGACGAAAGATGGAATCGGAAAAGATGAAAGGTGGCGAAACTCTGACGAAAGACGAAACCCCTGGCGAAAGACGAAACCTCTGGCGAAAGGCGAAGCTGGCGAAAGGCAAAACTGGCGAAAAACAAACCTTTACAAAATGTGAAACCTGCAAACCTCCGGAGAAGTCCTAGCAAGAATAAAAGGCTGAGTTACAGTAGTAATGAAGATTTCTTTTTATGATGATATGCACTATATGTTGTTATATTCATGACCAAATTACTATATACAAATTTTATGGCTAACATACAGTACATGCTTCAGAGGAATGGCCCAAAAGAACCATTTCAGATTGTCATTAATTATCTTGAACGTAATAAAGTTACAAACCCTACAAAGATTGGCAAAGGTGATTTCGGAAAAGTTTTCAAATATGGAAATATTACGAATTAACTGTTATTCTCGTATCTTAGCATTAAAGCAAAATATTTGCGCGAAATAATAACTCTGGGAATTATTTAGTACCAGTGTATAAAATATAAATTACGAGCGTGTCGAGAAATTTTTTATGAAAAGTATCTGAAAATATAACACCGCACAGGAAATTTATTAGCAAACTATAACATTGAACGATCAATAAAAATTTTTTTATAACAACCCTAAGAATTCATGAAAGTAGAATAGAAAATTTTGATCGATTTCAAATAAGTGGTTATTGAGATATTTTCGCTCAAATTTTGGAAAAAATTTGGACGATTATTAAAACAGATGTTAGGGCAAAGTTTTTGCTAAATTTTGAATGAAGATATCTCGATATCCATTTATTCGAAATCGATTAAATTTTTTTTTTAAAAATTCTTAGGGTTGGTAAAAAAAATTTTTTTTGATTTTAAATATTTAATTGTCGAGATATTGTCGCTCAAAGTTTGGAAAATCTACAAAAACATGTTATTAGGGATTGAGAATCTCAAGTTAGCGAGGGTACTACAGTAATCCAACGCAAGAATGAGACACAACATATATTTTAATAAAAATAAATAAAATATTCATTAATTTATCATTTTATAAGTTTTGTTAACTTTTAATAATTTCACTAACTTTTATTAGTTTTACTAACTTTTATTAGTTTCACCACCTTTTAGTAGTTTCGCTACTTTTTTCAATTTTGTCAATTTCTCCTTTTGTTATTTTCGTCAGTTTCGCAATTTTTGGCGAAAGGCGAAACTTCGCCTTTCGTTATTCTTAGGAAACTAAGATTATGTTTTAATGGTAGGAGGTACTATTTTAAAATTATATATAAACTTACTTTTTTTTATTTTTTAATATTACAAAATATTTTCTTGAATAAATATTTTTATACTTCTAAGTAAAGTTGTAAAGCAAG